TGCTGAACCTGTTGCCCCTGAGACCTGACCTTGGATAAGCGGTTGAAAATGGATGGGTGGATGGATACTCTGAAATGATGTGATGTTTAAATTATGCATGAGTGCAGTGCAGAGCGATGCCAAAAACAGTGTTCGCTCAAACAGCCATGTTATTCAGCTGCTCCAGGGCTGAAAATAAAATGTGGTGACTCACAGCAGGACTTCAAAGCACATTAAAATGAGGGAGAACAATACAATCATTTGATTGAAGATTAAAAATAATCCCCTCAAAAATATATGACTAAGATAAGACTTTTAAATTATGCTGAAACCACTTTTCTTTCCTTAAGCACTAATTTGAGCATCCCACACAGGTGCATTCAAAAACCTGTCATCTTTAAAGGAGAAGCTGCTGTCGCTAGTTTAAACGTTAAAACAACAACTTTACATTTAGTATTATGGCACAGGCCAATATTTAGAAACATACTGTATATTTGACTCAGTGCCTAGTCTGAGATCTGGATAATACACAGGACTCTTTGCTTTGCTGTAATTTTATTCACTTTTATTGGCCAAGTACACACACAAGGAATTCATCTCGGGTAAAGGACCGAGGCAGCCATCTGCTGTGCCAACTATTGGGTGGCGCTGTCCCTACAAGGTGCTGACCTGGCCATCGGGAGCAACTTGGGGTTCAAATGTCCATCAAAATCAAATTCACCAGTGACTACTTTAATGGAAACAGCGTCAGTGTCTGTGCCTTCATCAGACCTGTGTGTGCATATTTACCGGTCCTGGTGTAAGACTCGTGACAGGTCCGGGCGATCTCGGCGGCCTGCTCCATCTGGTGGCCTGTCTTGTCGCCGGGCGCCCCATCAGCACCCAGAGCGATCATGCCACCTGCGAAACAGGTCAGGTGACCCATCTTATGTTCCAGCAGCCCCCCTTTCCACTCTGCAATGTAGGTCAGCCCAGTGGTTGACTTCCTCATCAGGTTGGTTTCTATGGCCTGAGACAGACAAACAGAGTAATGAAGGGTTCAGAGGGCGCGTTAGGATTGGTCCTCACTCACTGAATCCTGGGAACACACATTTACATTACAAAGAAACGATGACAAGTTACAAAAACTTTGCTGTCAAAAGTCTGAAAAAGATAGTTTACATCTCCCTTCTGTTAAGATCTGCTAATAATCACACATATTAGTGCCTGGTTGACAGGACATGTGTGCTTGAGACAGAGTAATATGTGACTTGTTTCATCCACACAGACTAAAGTGCTGCTTTCTGCACATCTTCCTCTAACTTCAGTAGAAACCATAGACCTCAGGGACACCGATCATAAGATCAGTAAATCTGGATGGATGGGTAGCACCCAGAACAAAAGGGCCTGCAGGTTTGATATCATTTGAACATAGTGATCCTCAAAGATTGTGAGGAATTACAGGTACAGTATTGGACTGTGGTTAACTGTGTTTTGTTGCCATGTAATAGATTTGCTCTCCAGTGTGTTTCAGAAAGACAAGAAGCTTTTGAGCTTTCTCCAGCTGAGACCCGCCGCTTGTCACCACTAGTTAAGGTGATGGTTTGTTTTAGTAGAGAAAAACTGTGTGTGTTTGTGTGTCTGTTCACTTAAAAAGGCTCTTGTTACAGCAGAGCCAGCAGCTGGTTTGCAAATCTCTTATGTGGGTTGTCGCTCCCCTCACTTGCATCTTATCCTTGTGTCCTTTCCTTAGCCCTGTCCAGATAAGATGTGAGAAAAAGTTGCAAGGAGAAACATAATTGAAAGAGGAATCAAGGAAGCACATGAGATGTCCTTTACTTCAATCCTTCATCTGAAGCGTCCAATCGCCAACTGATGTCTGATAAAGGGGCGTGTCAGTCCATAAAATCTTCCCTGAATGATGCTCTCATGTACCTGCACTCATGGCCCCTCCAGCAGCCTCCACAAATCAGATCATATAAGAGACTCTGTCTCTGGCTTCTTATATAAATGTGTGTTTGTGCTGTCACCTCCCAACTCCTCCAAGCTCTTAGCCCTCTGCTGTCCGAGAACATATTTAACAACATTAATAACAATTCAGTGACTCATGTTACTATCCAATGAGCAACACTTTGAAGATTCCAGCTTATTTTGACAACTGGATTGTTATAATATTCCCTTAAGGGGAAAGTAAATGGACCAGCAAGTCCACTTTCCAATATGTAAAGCTGACCTCACATTGGTTGTCCACTATTAGATTAGAGGGCGGTACTGGTGAAGTTGATGAAAGAGAAAGATAAGACACAAATATTGCAACAAGCGAAGAAGCTCAAAGGATCTAACATTTATATAAATGAAGATTACACCGAGTATGTGAGGATGAAAAGAAGGGAATTGATGCCGAAGTTAAAGGAGGCCAGGGAGAGGGGGGACATCGCGTTCCTGAGGTATGATCGACTAGTGACCAGACCTTGGAACCAGAACCCAGGACCCAAGACCAGCACGCCCAGGATGCCAAGACAAGGAGATGATGGGGTCGCTGGACCCTCTCATGTCAGAAGAGTCACGCAGGTATATCGATATCTGCGACGGCAGATAAGCGTGGAATCTATCAACAAAAGTATGACCCATGTACGGAATGAGGCAAGTGATTTGTTACAGAAGTTAATAGATTTTGAGGGACTGGAGCTGGAACTGAACACTACTGGAGATTCTGAAATTCATTATCATGAACCGGACAAAGATTTTGACCCTGAAATAAATTTTTTCAAGAACTCTAAAAATAACTGCAAGTATTACACGGATGAGCAGTTTAACAGCAATGTCAAGACTGAGAACAAGCTATCATTAATTCATTTTAATAGTAGAAGTTTATATGCAAACTTTCAGAGTATAAAACATTATCTTAGTAGTCTAAAGCGTTCTTTTAGTATAATTGCTATTTATGAAACTTGGATCAACAGTGTAAGAGGAATGGATTTTGACCTTGAAGGCTATGACTTGGTATGCATAAACAG